GTATGCCACGTACCTTCATACAAGAAAACGTCCCAGATACGGTGAAGATATTCAACAGGCAACGTTCCGACAAATAGGGTAGAGAACCTGTGCAAGATCAGAAAACATGGAAACCAAGAGGTGCATATTGATACGAACCAAGCTTTCGCTATCGCGCCAGGGGGGATACTAAACGTGACATAGAGCTTTTTGCACACGGAAGGATCATTAGCTTCGATGGCTTTGCTGAGCAATGCAGCATCGACTTCCAACTGAATGGTATTGGCCGAGAAGTACGGACGAAGATGGGCGTCCATCATCGAAGCGAATATCCAAAAAGCATCTTCTTCGGGCGATAGCAACAACAGATGACCAGCTATAGAAGTTAGTCCTGACAACCCCACATCATATCAATCAGCAACGATGCGAACCTCGGACACGGCGAAGATGTACCTGAGCTATATTGGATATCTGGCACCATATTGAGATAGGCCTGTAGGAGTGATACTAAAGGGCCATCGAAGGGATGCAGTTGCATCTGATCAGGGAAATACGCTTTTGCATCCTTCTCGATATCTGAAAAAGCAGGGACTCTTTGCCTTTTGCCCAGCTGCGCATATACGCCGGGAATCGCGCGAGCTTTACTGTCGCTGAGATGACACCACACCAAGTATCGCACCGACGAAGGCACTCCGTCCAACAAGAGACGCTTGACCTTCTTGTTCCTGCGTGCTTGAGATGGCGGGACCATAGGTAGGAGGGCCATCCACTTGACCTCACGCTGGCGGTGAGCATCTATTGACACAGGTGACTCCACTGGCGGGGTACCCGACGAGAACGCATCAGGGAACAGGGGGGACCGTGGGGCGCTCGAATGCATCGACGCAGCATCGCCTTGCATGACACCAGGGGAATCGAGGTACACTGCATCAGCATCACGTCCAGCATACGAGGATTCCTGACTGGAGCGACCCAATGCTTGCGGTAAGGTTGGTTTCACAAGTTCAAAGTCCATGTCTTGTACTTGCACAGTTTCGCTCTCCTGGTTATCCAACGAAGACGCCACGCTCGCAGCATCGTCAAGCTTCGATTTGATGCTCATCTTACCACGAAGTGCGGGGAGACTGAGCTTTCCCCGAAGTTGGACTTCGTGTGTAAGGGGCGATGATCGCGCTGACTGTGAGTGCCATTCCGCAATGGGAGGTGGAGATGCCATTTGAGAACGTGAATCGGTAGAATCAGAACTCTGTCGAGGAGGCGCACTATCGATGGAGTTCTTCCTCGGTGTGTCCGATGACCCGTGACGAACATTGGTCACCCAAGGATTTGGCGAAGTAACGTTGTTAGCTGACACTGACGTGCGTCCTGTCATTGCAGATACCGGCGATGCATCCTTGTCACGATCGCTGTGGTTACTCGGACTAAAGCTGGGCACAGGGCTAGCCGAAGAGCTTCCTGTAGACGGAGGCCGCAACCCGAACTTCGCAACACTTGGAATAGGGGATGGCTGTTGGAAACCAGGGGTGACTGGTGACTTGAGCTGGCCTGCATTGGGCGATGGAGAAGAAACAGCGGCATTGGGACTTCGTTCACGATTCAAGTTGCCATTATGTAGGGAAAGAGGTGAGGGAATGTGACGTGCCCTCAAAGAAGCTGGGAGACCATTTGACGTGGGTGCAGACATAGATGCAGGCTGTGAAGAAGGGGAAGGTGTGGAAACAGAGGGGGAAGTCACAGATACGCTTTGCGCCTTAGACACTGGTTCTTCACGGCTACATCGCTCATCAGTTTCGACTCTTCATCGCTGTTCAAGATAAACTCACCTTCGCTCAGGCAAAGCACTAGCATTTCCAGTTTCCCCAAAGCCCGAAAATGACCTTGATCTCGGTCGGGCAGCGCCCACCTGCGGGACAAAATTCGGGCGCGAAATTGGAGCCATGGGCGCACTACTACTCGTAGTTGACTCCTGCACAACTGCAAGCGCCGTCGCTGACCGCCGAGGTAGTCTCAGTGGTGAAGTGCTAGTCGGATCGGCGCTTGGATTTGGGCTAGTATCTTTCGCACTGCTAGGTGGTGGTGCCCCGCGAAGAGGTCCAACAGCTGCAGACGCGGCTGAGCTCCTTCGTATCGGAACAGAGACCGTTGCAGCTCGAACGGGCGGTACAGGGGCCATAGACGAAGGAGCTGTTACGCCTGGATGAGCCTTGCGAGACTGTAGTGGTGGAAGCGGGTCCATTGAGAACATGATAGGCACGGGACCGGTACTCGAATTCAAATCAGGCTCACAGCGAGCATATAGTGTCATCGGCGGCCTGCGCACGCCAGGACCAAGGGAGATACTCCTGAGGTGGCGGAGAACTTGAACGGAGAATGCTGTGGCATTGGGCGGTAGCTGCACGGGAGGTATTGACCCAGGGCTTGCAGTGGGATGCTGGGTTCGTGCATACATGGGACCCAGCCCCTGGCTGCCTGGAGCTATCTTTGGAGCATTAGGATGAGGGAGGAATATCGATGTACGTGAGAAGGGATGAGGTGCCTGGTTGGGCTGACGGGGACGCAGAGTCGAAGGTGGTGGTGCGTTTCGGTCTGAAGGCGAGTTCCCTGCCGATGGTGCGCCCGGGCTCAGTGCTGACGATGTAACAGGGGTAAGTGAAACACCAGAAGTTGGGGTAGATGGTGATCCCGGCGTAAGTGCTGCAGGTGCCCGAGGCATAAGTGCCGACGGCACACCCGTCGGCGATGGCAAAGCTGGAGTAACAGTGTGTCCTGTGGAAGCAGTCCCAGTCTCGCTCGATATAAACGATGTATCCCCTTCAACGCCCACATCCTCATCTACTACAGGATGGTCTTCATCGTCATCATCCACCACAATACGCATTCCCAGACCAATGCGCTGCTCGAGCCCGCTCTCCGTATGCGTGCGCAGCGCAGATACGGCACTGGACCTATCTGTAGGCGACACAAGCGACCGCAGACTCCCTGCAACTGACCGCAGCCCTCGCGACTTACGAGACGCGTGTCCATCATCCGACTCTGAATACCCAGATGACTGCATTTCTGTCTCCTCCGTGTAGCCCGAATGTCGTTCGTTGGCACCAAATGACGCATAGAGCAGCGGCGACACCGGATTTATCGCATGCGGGGGCACCTTCTCCCCTCCCAAACCCACACCTTCACCCTCGCTCTCGTCTTCCATATCTGTGCTCGTCACTCGCAGCCTGCTAGGCACCCCAACTGGGACTTGGGGGAACTGCGCGCTGAGTGGGGATAACGCCTGCACCGAATAGGTCGAGACCGTGCGCATGGACTCTTGGCCTGCAGAGAACTGGCGTGCAACAGGCGGGCGCAAACGCACCTCTGGGCCGTCGACAGGGCCATGAGGTGTATGCTCTAGGGAGACAGACAAGCCAGGGTCTACAGAAGATGTTGACTCGAGGGAGGGTCGTGAGTAGACGGAGGTGGTCGGATGGGTATGCATAGATGAGGTGTTGGCCCGGTCTGCCTGACTTGGGCTCGAAGCACTTGAAACGCTGGGCCGTCCGCTTGAAACGCTTGGCCGTCCACTCGACACGCTAGGGCGTGATAATGCGTCAAAGCTGGGCCTGTCTGGTGAGAAGCTCGGTATAGGGGGGACCTTGCCACCACCTGAAAGAATGGACATGTGTGCTTTCGACTTTACGGAGATTGTGGACATGCGCTTAGATGAGAAGCTGTGGCGGGAGTAGCGGTAGTCGTCGTATATGTCGGATGCACGGGCCCAGTAGCCCTCTTCATCGTCATCGTCATCTTCCTCTTCTTCCTCCTCATCTTTGTCTTTACCAATCTCACCTTTCCTCTCTAGGTGCTGTCCTGGCTCATCGACCTGCGTCATGGCGTCGTCTTGTATAGTCTCGGTCTCGAGCGATGCATGCGGCGCATTACTGTTCACCCCATGCTCAACTGCCGGTGACGCAGAAATAGAGGGCGTATACTTGGTCCATGGAATGGGTGTACTTGCATCCGTCGCAGTACTCTCCTCCGCTCTGTCACCCAAATCATGTCCTCCCGCTCCTACCTCCAGCCATGGTCTATCACCGTGCCCATTTGCACTTTCATCTTCGTCATCTTCATCATCCATCGCAAGTGCTCCAAGCAAGCTCAGCCCGATGCCCGTCTCCCCGTCTTCCTCTTCCTCCGCGCCCACCAGATGGCGGTGAAGCGTAGACAATTGCGTGCTCTCGTCATGTTCATGATCATGGTCATCATTAAGATATAGCGAAGAATCATCTGCGTCTGAGTTCGACTCTGGTGCTGACGACGCAGTGGACGGTGGGGATGGCGGAGACTGCGGTATTTCTCCTGGCGGTGGCGGGAGAGGTGAGCGTGGCGGACTGCTCTTTGCGGGGAGCGTGAAAGATGCCAGGAGTGGCGAGCGTGATGGGAGAGGTGAGTAAGCGCGCGAAGTTGTTCCTGATCCAGGTGATGGAAGCAAAGGCGAAATCGGCGAGAGCATCGGGGTCGCTGAGAGTCGCGGCGACTTACTAAGGCGCAGCGGAGCCACGCTCAGCCCTTTCGTTGCAACAGTCGCGAAATTGGTAGAAGACGACGACGAATTTGAAGTGGGAGCTGAGGTCAAGGAGCCATACGTCGAGCTTGAATTCAGAAAGGTTCCTGACATGGACTCAGAAACAGATGTAGAAACGGAGCCTGATGTGGACTGAGACATCGAAGGTGAATGATTCGACAGAGATTGAAGGAGCTTCTCCACAGATCCTACGGAGGAAGTGTGCGTTGAGCCTAAAGAAGGGATGGATTGCGCACTCGAGGTAGCTGGGGTGAAATTTGATGAAGACGAGGTAGGCACTGATTGTGTGCTCGACGAAGCCTGAACTGAACCAGACGAAGACGATGGCACCACTCCGCTCGACAAAAACGAATCCTCGCTATTACGCCACCCATCGTCATCGGAGAACGTGGTCGATGCGGCGCTTGACGTTGATACAGTTGAGTACACAGATGACACAGACACAGACGCTGTCAACTCATGTGTACGGCCCCTCGTTCGCTCGTATTCCCTCAAGCGCTCAGGGGAGGACGAGTATAGATACATGTCAGGTGAAAGCGGCTTCCGTCTGACTGGCGAGCCCCCGGAACGTGAGTCTGAAGCACTGTCGGCTCTTGCCAATGAACTTCCAGGACGATTCGTATTGGAACTGCCCGCCCTTGCGCCGCTAGAGTTCTCCGGCCACGACGGTGATGTTCGCTCAAGTGACATGGGACGTGTATCGGCAACACCAAGGGATCCTCGTTTTGCCATGACAGGGCGCTTCAGTTTCCCATGAAAATTCACGTCTGTGCCAGAGAAGCGTCCCACGACACCTTCGCAGAAGCCCTGGTGGTGAATCGATGTTAGCGGTGTGTCGACCCAAAAGACAGAACAAAATAAATGAATATGAAAGGTTCAAAAGTATTAAAAACATGGCAAACATGTAGAGAATGTGGTAAAAATCCAAGGGGAGACATAAACTGGAACAACAGAGAAGAACACGCACCAAGTAATACCCAGTTTCAGGAAGCTGCATCAACACTGTGATTTCATCGTCCTAGGGGCGAGATGTATTAGTATTTTGAAAAAAAGGATTCCGCGGAGACAATGATTCAGAGGGGTGGTCCCTCACGGCCCCACTCTCGAGAAATACGAGATTGTATGTCTTGGTCAAAATTATCTCGGCTGAAACTGGACCCAATTGCATCCTCAACTAAACAGCCAAAACACTACAAGAAAACGAACCGCTGTACTCGAACTCATGCTCACCTTGAGAAACATGAGATCACCAATTTCCCTTGCGACACAATCCACGGTCGCTGTACAACGCCCAACGCCTCCTTTGGCGGCAAAGCGTGTCCAGCGGGCAAGTTCCTGGGCAGCCATACGCTGTCAGTTGGTGCTTCCGGTGACGGGTGTAGAGAATATCAGAGAACTTTTCGGGTGGAGCGACACAGACGTATTGGTTGATGTACGGAACCAGTGTCACGTTCTCGGGTATGTAACTGAGTTTAGTGGTTATATAGGGACACCACGGATATCAGTCAAACGAAATTGGAGTCGTAGATGATCGTAAACTGTGAAAAGGAAGAAAAAGGAGTGAGTATGTGTTTCTGTCAATGTTCGGCCTGACAAGAGTCTAGATCAGAAGACAGGACAGGCACAAATCTGTGGAACATCACAAATCATCCCCCGCAACGAACGCGGGAGTACACGTGGCAGGACTCACGCTCGCGGCACTCACCTGTGAATCAACGTCGCCAGAGCTCTCCTCGCTGTGCACAACCGTGACTGACTTCAATAGAAAAAGAGTTTGAATACTTAAATGAGATTATATAAGCCATGTTATCCTTCCGTAAACGTACCATCAAAATACGTACGAAACCTACTTGGCAACCTGCATGATACGTTCTCATCGTCCCGTGTAGTCCAACAGCGTGGTGCCGAGTTGCGTCTGTAGCTGGTGCCATGACTTCCTGTGAACTTCCTGTAACATTGTTGTATGTAGTCTTTGTTTAATAGCCGAATAGCCGACGATGCGGTACCGCATATAGCAACTGTTACGTCAAACCGCAAGTTTTAACTTGCAGTTCCATATGCTTAAGGGGCAGTAGTATCATTGTATCAACTCCATCAGTAAACCGATGAGTCCTTGACTGTCCTTGACACGTACTAGTACCTACTGGTACAGATTCAGAATTCAGTTCACATCGCACTGCTCCTGGCCCCCTTTCCTACTAAACAATTTTATTACTCTCTGCTTTGAAGTTTCGTGCATTTATTATAACATATAATTATGTAATAACAGTGAAAACATCTGCTTATACATATCCGGCGTCTACTCGGTGCTCATGTTTCGTAGCGTAGAGTCTTACAATGATACTAATGCAATCGATCACAATTATAAGCGCGCATTCTCCCTCGATTTCTACTAGTTCAAGGCCTCTGAGCAGTGAGCAGTGAGCACTACCTAGTACCGACGTGATTCTGTCTGGCTGTGCAGTAGTAGCCACAGCAGCCTCGTGTCCTCCTGCAAGCAACTGGACGGCAAGCTTCTACTCGCCCTTCAACTGCATTCCACAACCATCCAGCAAGCTTTCCATAGCAGAATATCCATCTGTCCATCCCATCTTCATTACACTTTGCACACTCCATCAATCGACAGCTGGATCGTTCCGCGACCCAAGTCTTCTCACAACTTACAAGCTTTGATTCAAATATTCGTGCGTACGTCGTTCCTTCAGATAACTGTCGCCGAGATTTTTCTAACCACACCCTCGAACCAGTTAGTATTTTTAGTTGGTTCGTTGCATATCGCATATCGCAACCTTTGTCAATGAGTAACGATCAAGGTCGGTGCTTCCATCTCTTATCTCTCGCAAGCTCTCTGACCTCTTTGACAGTCCTTGAAGGAATTTGGGCGAAGCTGTCCGAGGTCGCTGTAAAGGGTGCCCAACACAACTCCCGTGAACGTCAGCCCTACCCGAAATGTTTGCAAGGGACACGAGTTGATCTCCTCAAATACATCCACGAATCACTGGACGACCGAGAGAAAAATCAACTCATTTGGCTGCATGGCACGGCTGGTGTCGGAAAGTCTGCCGTTGCGTTTACAGTAGCTGACAAGATGAAAAATCTCAAAGTGATCGAAGACACGAATGTCGAAATGCGACTAGCGGGAACATTCTTTTTCTCGCGCAAGCACACCAAACGCTCCACTGCTGAATATTTCTTTGCGACGCTTGTCTACCAGCTTGTCACCAATTTTCCAAGCATCCGGAAGGATGTGTGCAGAATTATCCACGAAAATCCCGCTCTACTAGATCCAGATGCGCCTCTCTGCGATCAAATGAAGGCTTTCTTTCTTCGACCTCTCCAGAAACTCCAATCCAGATTGCGCGGGTGTCCGCCCTTGTCGTTTGTCATCGATGCCCTTGATGAATGCACATCGGAACCCGAAGTTAAAGATCTCATCCTTTCCCTTGCACGGGCTCTTCGTGAGCCTGACCTGCCCGTGACCCACATTCTGCTCACAAGTCGCTCGGAAACGTATATTAGCAAAGTCTTTCAGGACAACGAGGTGCACCCATTGGTGCGCGAGATACCCGTGAGAACTTCTGGGGAGGGCGGCATCATTTCGTTGGACGGCGCAGACGTTGACAACGATATCCGTATTTTCTTGTGGCATTCCTTCGAATAACTGGGATGTCGCCATCCCGATTTCCCGCAGCCATCGGAGGTTGACCTTGCGAAGCTGGCGAGCCGAGCGGGCAGACGTTTCATCGTGGCGTCTATGATGATAAAGTTTATTATTGACGATGAAGATGAAGACAAAGATCCCCGCGATCGGTTGCAGCTCATGCTCAAGCTCACGAGCAAGCTGCTACCAGGAACGGAGGTGTACAAGTTATACGATTGTATCCTCTCCACGTGTACCGACCCAAAGCGGGCTTACATCCACTTGTCCATTGTCGCCGCTCTCGTAGACCCTCTTTCCATCTCGCAGATCTCGACACTTCTTGGCCCTGGTTTGGGAAGGGATGTACAAACAACGCTGATACAGCTACGGTCTGTCATGGATATCCCCACAGACAGCACTCTCCCCGTGAATATCTATCACTCGTCCATTCGCGACTATGTCTCCGACCCCTCAAACTGTAGCCTCCCTCAAGTACGCAATATCGCATCACCTCACTGCCTACTCGCACGTTCCTCTCTCCGCTTGATGATGGCGATTCCAGCAAGCACGGCTCTCTTGGACGCACTCTCAGAGCTGCAGAAGCAAAGCAAAGCTATGCAACCCGAGGACCCCCATAGATTGAGAGACTCATTAGCGTTCCTTGTTCGACCACCAGAGTCACTGTCAGCTGTCATCTGTATGCTGTGGCTTCGAGGAGATCGCACTTCAGACTTAGAATCTTGGCTGGGGACTATGGACGGGCGTGCCTGGCTGCAGACCCAGGGAGGACGACACTGGCTGCAGACCCAGGGAGGACAGGACTGGTTGCAGACCCAGGGAGGACGACACTGGCTGCAGATCCAGAGAGGACGAGAATGGCTGCAGATCCAGGGAGGACGAGAATGGCTGCAGACTCGGGGAGGACGGGACTGGCTGCAGACCCATGGAGGACGAGATTGGCTGCTGACCCAGGCAGGACAAGACTGGTTGCAGACCCCTGAAGGACGAGACTGGCTGCGGACCCGGGGAGGACGAGAGTGGCTGCAGAACCGGGGAGGACGAGAGTGGCTGCAGAACCGGGGAGGACGGCGCTGGCTGCAGACCCAGGCAGGACAAGACTGGCTGCAGACCCAGGCAGGACGAGACTGGCTGCAGACCCAGGCAGGACGAGACTGGCTGCAGACCCATGGAGAACGAGACTGGCTGCAGACCCAGGCAGGACGAGACTGGTTGCAGACCCAGGGAGAGGAGGACTGGCTGCAGAACTGGAGAGGACGACGATGGCTGCAGAGCCGGAGAGGACGAGAATGGCTGCAGACCCAGGGAGGACGAGAATGGCTGCAGAACCCGGCAGGACGAGACTGGCTGCAGACCCAGGCAGGACGAGGCTGGCTGCAGACCCATGCAGGACGAGATTGGCTGCAGACCCAGGCAGGACGTGACTGGCTGCAGACCCATGCAGGACGAGATTGGCTGCAGACCCAGGCAGGACGTGACTGGCTGCAGACCCCGTGTGGGCGACACTGGTTGCAGACTCCCCATGGTCAAGTTTGGCAGTCTACTCCTGCGGCTTCCGTCTGGGTGACAATGGAAGAATTCGTGAGGACATCGGAAGCAATCAGCGAGTATATCGTTATCAACGATGTGCTTTTATTGCCAGCTTTCCAATTAATTCAGCAGTTCAAGACCTTGCCAGATTTCTTGATGTTTCCGGTGTTTCTGGCATTAAGACACCACCATCATTCCACCTCTGCATTACCAGAAAGTCTTCTTCTACCAGACAGGGAGATCGTTCGTGCCATGAACGCCTTTGAGAGGTTCGCAAACGAAGCACGGGAACGAAGTCGATTAGCTTCCGATGCTCTCAAGTACGCGTGTCACAACTGGGCCGTACATCTCTCGCGTGCTCCCCATCCATGGGATGACACGCTGAACCATATATTCCAGGCTTTTTGGAATGATCATATCATCTCCTGGCTGGAAATGGAGTGGTGTTTGAAGGGTCTGCGGTCTTGCCTTGTCGTCTTATCTGAAGGGCAGAAATTTGTGAAGGTGTGTGTTTCGACGATTCAAGGTGGCCACAACTGATGTTGTTTTATGTTCCATGACATTTAGTGAATTATCTCTTATCTTTAGTCCGGACTCTTGAGCTGTTGATGCGCAGCCCGGCGTTGGCAGTCGAATCTGTCACCCCCACCCCTGGAGTCCTCTCGAGCTCTCGAGCAGTGGCGCGTTCAAAAGCCTGTTTGTACCATAATAGACCCTCATGACTGTAGTTTGATGACGAGACTGTGTATTTTGACATCTGCTGTTTAGATCAAGTATGATTTGCCCATCTTGTAATGTATGTTATTTGATAGCCTGGTAAAACCACTACGTCGCCAGTGCGTCTGACTACAGTCGATGGCCATGGACCAGTGAATCCAAGGCAGCGCCCGATGCATTCTGAAGCAATACTTCCCATATTTCCTTCTTACTAGTAAAGAGGACAGACGGGACTTATGGCCTGTCTAGGGTGGACCACAAACGACTCACGAGTGCTTTGTTCTATATAAAAAGTCCGTGTCAATCAGTCCTTCCCAACACGTTCCTCAATCGATCGTTCTCAGAATCTCAGTGATCATAGTAATTACGCTTCTTGTCGGCGTTCATAGGACCACCGAGCGGACTGGATATTCCTGGATGTCGTACCCAAAACTGCAGTGCATCGGATGCATCCTAGGATCACATGTAAAAGGGTGTGAATCAGGGGCCCCGGGTAGAATCGAAAAATACCAGTCCTCAACGTTGTCTACTTCAATGTGTACCCATTATAATCGGTAGGCGTTGTTCAGCCTCATCTCAGCCGTTCGGAATAGGTTATCTCCCAAGATACCTATATCAGTCGGACGGATCAGCCCCCTCCTCACTTTGCCAGTGCCAAGGCTAGTGGAGCGTGTTGCGCCGTCTATGCCGATTTCTCGCTCAGCCCGCTCGGCTGGACACTACTAGTAGCACTAGTCCTCATTCCAAGCATTGTCGATCAGCCCAGAAGCGGGCAGCTGTTGGAAGGCTGGTGAAATCAAAGTGGAATATTACCTTTTTAAATCAAGACTTACTGAAAATGTAACCTCGAAAAAAGTGAGAAACGGGTAGAGGGATCTGCTCAACTTGCGAGTAAAGATCGAAGACATACTTCACTTAATTTACCCAAAAAAGTGAGATAAGTGAGACAACAGTGAACTCGACATTTACTGATGATAAAATTGTCATGATGCCACCCACATCTTCCGCCCATAGTTTGAACCAAAAAATAGCACAGCAGACTCCAAGTAAGGTTCCTGCTGCAATCTGCGGCCATGTGTGATGGCCCAGCCGCACCCTTGACATGGCTATCATGCATGTCCATGGTAAGACAATCATTGGAGTGAACACAACGAAACGAGGGAAGGTAGGGTGGACAGGTAGCTCAAGGCAAGCAAGGGTAATATATGCAGCGAAGAAGGTGCACGTGGATGCATGTGAGCTAGGCATCCTGTGTTGACGATGTAATCAGAAGTCTGGAAGTGGATCGAGTTTCCGCACCCATAAGACACTTTACGCCCGGAGCACTGAGATGGGCGTTCTTGTCGTATTGCTTTCTTGGTGAGCTTAGCCAGTTTTGAACACAACAATGCGCCGGTCACAAAAAAAGCGACTCCTGCAGAGCGGGTATAGAGAAGAGCTACTGCAGTCAACACAGTCACGACTTTGGATGTCTGCAGAATGGACTCAGCACTTGCTCTCGGTTCCGGAAGCAGGTGCATACTTCATCTAGAAACTTGAGCCATAGTGGTAGCGCTGCTCCCATAGCTAGTATGTTGTCTGAACGCAAAAAGGGAGTAAACAGCAAGCGCTCCGTTTAGAAAATCTTCAGCCCTCTTATTCATATAGGAGTCACTGCGTGCGTCGTATTCAATCATCAACTTGGCTCAAAAACAGCGAGAACAGACGTCACCATGATGACGGGAAGCTTCGAGTAAATTTGTTTCTGGTAAATATTGTCAGCGAAAATCTGAAAACGGTACTCTACCTTTCTACATTACACCACGTTCGAATCACTTCACTCGTGGTGTACTATTATTGGGACGGGATGTGCATGATTTTGACAAAAGGCCACGTAGTCAGGCTCTCTGCAGCCGCGGCAATTTTGATCAGCGATATAGGACCCATGAGGAATGGGACAGCGTTCACTACCTTTTTGTGCATTTGCGCATTGCTGGTGGGCTCTGATTGATGTGGCACATTTTTCTCGGTGTCTCTGAGTTATGATGTCACCCTGAAGGTCCGTTCTGCGGTCCGGTCTAAATCGAAGAACAAGATGTCATACGAAAGAGCTGACAAATCAAAAACAAACATGTACAATTCGGATCGGCGGTGTGTGCCGTTAGACCTCTTCTATAGGGTCCAGGAACTCTTCGGAACTTGCTTATTTGCTACTACCATTTCTGAATCGCTCGCAGTGGCCCACTCCTTTTCATTCTCATGTGCAGACTCCTCGCTTTCTCCGAGTTGAACCGTTTGTCCCACGCGCTGCGTTTGCGTCCTAGGTTCAAGCCTCACACGTTATGACCTGATTGGTGCCCGCCCGCTTATCACATGCATCTCATCATGCAACCATAGGTCCGGACTCCGGATACTATAGCCGCCTTGTTTCTACTACTAGACATTTCTAGATGTCACTCGTCCCCCCATCCAGTCATTAGCTACAAAAAGCATGGATACACGATGTTGCTTTACTTTTCTGTGACGGACCGCCCCATTTTGAAGCGCAGTAAAGTGAGTACAGTTCACCAGCGATACCATTGGCGATGAATGTGTTGGCACACTCATAACATGTTCTGCAAAGTGTCGTCACGATTAATATTGTTCCACATGTGCGCCAGTATTCATCGATACTGTCGACGTGGCCACGCTCGTGGCTTGTGCCCAACGTTTCTAGCTTTCCCTTGGTGCGCTGATTCCTTCTATAGAAATTCAACTCATTGATGAAAAAAAAGTACATTTGTGCGTCAGCGTCTCGCCACTGACCTGAGTCGGTGACGAGGAACATTCTGCATTAGAAGCAGGCGACGACATCGATGCCTCAGACACTCGAGTGAAATTTTCAGAATGAGATCATCCTCGAAGGTTACTTGAAGATGGTTGCAATTGGACCAATAAACCAGAAATATGATGCAAATTTCGAATTCCTACACTGACGCACGTGTGCGGATCCGGAATCAATCGATTTTGGATGTTCAGCTGTGACAAGTGGTTTACCTAGTTGCTATTCAAAGCTCGCTGTGGTAATCTTGAACCTTCCTGAACTGATAGAATGAACTGGTAGATCCGTCCACATCATAGTGTGTGGTGTGAGTGTGGAGGGGCAAATAATCTTCAGCCACTGCACAATTTGAAGTTGGTGACGCGGCCAAGTGACAGTGTAAGTTGAATATTTACCACTCAAAGCGTTGTGATGCTCAACTCATGCCAGAACGAGAGAACCCAATGCTCCATGATGCCAAATGAAGAAGTATATAAAGTCAGACGTCCGTACTCAACATACTACACGGTTTTTGCAGTTGATCATTCTGATACCTCACAATGGCACAACCCGAATTCAACACGATTCATGACATCATCACTCAAGCTGTCAACCGCTATCCATCACACCAGCTTTCTTTCATAACCTCCTCCGCACATGACTCCTCCATTCAGACAAAGACTTTCAGCGCATTTAACCAATATATTCGTAACCTTGCACACGCAATGCTCGAGTGGGGCAAGCCCACCGGTTCAATTATTGTCGTGTACCTTTCCGAACACGAAGACAATATGGCTACCATCTGGGCTTGTCTCATAGCTGGCTATGTCCCCTGCTTGCAGCCCGCACTCAGCGCACAACAGGCGCACAAGGAGGCACATGTTTCTCACATCAAGAACCTGTTTGAATCTGCAATTTGGCTCACCAACGAGCTCGGTGCTGAGCAAATCAGCTCCATTGACGGTCTGGAAGTTCACTTGCTCTCTGACTTGAAAACCTCCGCAGAGACGTTCACTGTCCCAGCTGACTGGGTTGCGTCTGATCCTAAGCCCGATGACCACGCAATGCTCTTTCTGACTTCAGGCTCGACTGGGTTCTCAAAGGCGGTCGTGCACACGCATCGTAGCATTCTCGCTGCTTGCCGTGCCAAGGAGCAACGCTTCGGCCCCCCTTCCGAGTTTCGGGTCTTGAACTGTAAGACAAATAATCGTTGGAGCTTTCTTCTAGAATTAACTATACCGTCAGGGGTAGGATTTGATCACGTCGCAGGGACTTTGGAAATGCACGTCACACCTCTCCTATATGGTGCTTCGCAAGTTCATGTGCATGCATCTGTTATTCTGTCCGATTCCGTTCGCATGCTGCGCCTGATCGACGAAAATGTATGTTACAATCCAGCCGTGGCTTCCACTCATCAATTCATTATGCTATTTTCCTAGTCCATTGGTCTAGCTTTTGCACCAAACTTTCTGCTGGCCAAGCTCACTCGCGATCTTGAAAAGCGCACTGATCTTTTCGGATCTTTCGACCTATCCTCTATCAAGCGGATCATCAGCGGAGGTGAAGCAGTGGTTTCGAAGACTGCACAAACCTTTGCTGCTACTATGAAAAAGCTTAGCAAGAATCCCTCCGCAGTGTCTTTCATAGTCTCTGCTGGATTTGGAATGACAGAAACTTGGTAGGGATATTTATACGACATCGATACATCTGAGGTGACTGGTCTTGCAGCGGTGGATGCATCTATGATCCGGTCGATATTTTTACAGCCGAGCCTGCTCGCGAGTTCCTTGATCTCGGACGTCCCATTACAGGTTGCGAGATGCGCATCGTTGACCCTATCGATGGCACCACTCCGCGCCCAGATGGCGAGAGCGGCGAGCTTCAGGTTCGCGGACCGATGCTTTTTGTGGGCTACTACAAAAATCCCGAGGCTACGTCCTCCAGCTTTATCGAGGGTGGCTGGTACCGCACTGGTGATGTAGGCATTGTCGAACATGGCGTCATGCGCCTTATCGGGCGGATCAAGGACACCGTCATCATCCATGGTGTCACATATGGTATCCCCGAACTTGAAACCCATCTACAGACTTTGGAAGGTGTCACACACTCTTTCCTCGCTGCTGCTCCCTACCGTGTTCCTGGCCAGGAAACTGAAGGGTTCGTCATTTTCTACTCGCCATCTTTCGACCTCGATGAAGCAGACGCGCCCATGAAGCTCTTTGCCACGAATCGTGCTTTACGCGACATCTCTGTCAAGATGATCACCCAGCCACCTCAACTGATCATTCCAATCCCTGTGAAGCAGATGGAGAAGACAACTTTGGGAAAACTCTCCCGGGCGCGCCTCCTCATGCTCCTTCAGAAAGGGGGGCTGGCGAAGCATATCGCTCGCGCTGACGAGCTTCTTAGCGAGGCACGCGGCGCTTCCTTCGTAGCCCCCTGCACTAAAACGGAAAAGGCTCTGGCCAAGATGTATGCAGGTATCCTGAACCTCGCAGACAATGAGGTGTCGGCGAACGATAACTTCTTTGAATTCGGTGGTACATCTATCGGTGTTCTCAGGTAAATACATGGCTTACCACTGTAAAATGACCTTCACTAACGCATACAATTTGCAGGCTAAAACGTGAGGGAGAGGCGTACTTTGGCCTGCCTGAATTCCCCGCCATACAAATCCTGAAGCACCCCGATGTCTCGAGCCTGGCCAGCTATGTCGACTCTTTGCTTTTCAAAGACAGCAATGCTGAGGAATACGACCCCGCTGTTCCCCTCCAAGTCACCGGAGACAAGACGCCTGTCTTCTTCGTGCATCCCGGAGTTGGAGAGGTTCTTGTTTTCCTCAATCTCGCCAAGTACTTCCAGAATGAGCGCCCCTTCTACGGACTCCGTGCTCGTGGCTTCGAGCCTGGTCAGCCCTTCTTCACGTCCATGGACGAGATGGTTTCCTCTTATACTGCAAGTATCAGGAGGATCCAGCCGGCGGGACCATATGCCATCGCTGGCTACTGCTACGGTGGTTTGATGGCCTTCGAGGTGGTTAAGCGCCTGGAGGCCATGGGTGAAGAAGTCAGGTTTCTCGGTCTTGTCAACGTCCCTCCTTATATCGCCCAACACATGCACAATATCGAACTCATCTGCACGCTTAACGTGTCGTTCTTCCTCGGTCTTTTGTCGAAGCAGGATTCTGAAAGTATGGCGCCTACTTTTAAACCGCTCACGCAGAAGGAGAGGCTTGAGATCGTATGGAAGATGTCGCCTCCTGAACGTCTCGCCGAGCTTCAGTTGACACCTGAAATTCTCGAACACTGGGTAGAAGTCTCTGTGTCTCTCATGCGCTGTGGAAAGGGATACAGCCCGTCGGGTACAGCTCGTAAGTCATTCATTTCCCGACTTCAACACTGCTTGCTCACATTGCCATGTATCTGTTCAGCGGCCATCGATGTTTTCTATGCCGTCCCGCCTCGCGGCCCGGATGACAAGGTTAACTGGCTCAATGAGCTCAAGCCATGGATTGGTTTCAGTCGCAACGACGCAACATTTACTGACGTGCCTGGGGAGCACAACACGCTCATGGACATTGATCACGCCTCGCAGTTCCAGAAGCTCTTCCGCAGTCGTCTTGAGGCTCGTGGAGTGTAATGTTTGTTGCACTTTTTCGCGACTTGGCTACTAGACATATTTAGAAACATCGTTTGTACCTGTACCACCACTGCCGCCTTTTTCCAAATGGTTATTGGGTTTCAAAATTCACTGTTCAACATCGTACATCCTACCTATTTCGAGAGACATGCATATATGGGCAGTCTGCGACTCCTTAGTTGTAATGTTTCACCACTATACCCTCAATGACCTCTTCTTCGACGTTGTGCTCTATTCCTTTCTTGAGATCGGACCTACCATACGTCGTTGTCCTTCCCTTCCTCCACGCCTCGCACAATGGGGCGTCCTCGTCAGGGCACAGGCGCTGGATGCCGAAGTGGTGGAGCACAGGGCTCTCAACGCACGGCAGTAAGCGAACATTGTCATCTGGCATCGAGAAGGAGAATACACCCAGACGGTCGTAGTTGCGCTGATCCTCAGGAGGCTGGACGACGCGATGGATCGTGGGCTTATAGTAACCACCACTGAAGAAACCCATCACATCGCCTGTGTTGATGACCTGAGGACGGAATGTTGAGTTTGCGATTCTTACAGCGATTCGCTCATTTGCGTACCAAAGCGTTCTCGATGTGGCGGACCCATTTCCATCTGCCGTCGGGAGCCTGAATTTGCAGGCCTCCGACAGGTTGGCTCCACAGGACGGTAATGCTGCCAACGTCTGCATGGTTGAGGGGCATATAAGGACAAGTAGTAAAATAAATTATACCTGTGTGTCCTTTCAACCAGACATTGTTGGATTTCTCCTCCTCTTCCTTTGGGCGCCTGTAACTTGAGAAATATTGATCAGGTTAACAAGTGGCTACGATCAAGGGTCACTTACTATTTCATAAATCTGACTGCACAGTTGCCGATTAATGCAGAATTTGATATGATAGAACAAGACCAACCACATGATTCTCCCGTGCCGTTAAAGTTGTGTTTTTCTACTAGAGTCTCCTCGGGTAACTCGAGGCTCAAAGCAATCAAGCTGCATGAGGCCGCTCGTGAGATGAAGCATCAATAGGGGCTCGCAAAGAAACTAACCGAAGGATTGGATGGACAACATTGAAGTGATTATGTTGGGCGAAGGCGTCGATTTCTGGGAGGAACGGACGCAAGGCCTGAGGGTGTGGACGCCTTGTGACGTCCTTGTTAACTGTAGAAAGTGTAGGAGACACATATCACACAGAAAGTTGTAGCACCTACTTCCGTACTGCTCAATCTGATCGAGAACATTGTTCTCCGTATCGATTTTCTGATCATTGAGCGATAAGGGTCAGTTTCATATACATTCCTTGCTGGAATATGACACACCCAGAATTGACGACCTTTAAAACCTGAATAGCACCCGACTTTCTCGATGTTTGCGGTGTATGTCTTCATTTCATCCGGGGGGACAACAGTGAAAGGGACATTAGCTATGTCAAAGATCCTATCGCGCTACAACAGTACTTCAGACACCTTAGTATGACCTACAGGTACGGACCCACCTGAGCCTGGTTATAACCATGATTTATAGCATAAACGAAGCCGTAGGTGCGCAGTGCATCTCGAAGTTGTGGATAGAGCTCTGCCCGTCCTTCTGGTGTATGGGCCTTGGAAAGATCGATGATAGCCAGGTCCGCAAACTCTACTACACGCTGAGTCGTTAGCTACTAGACATACTATATCAATTAGATACTTCCTCACAGTCCTCATCTGTGGCCGGAGGCGGGGTATAATGTTTACACTCGGGCAATGTTAGGCTGGGCATTTCCACTCGCTAGATGGTTATGAGACAAAGGAAGACCTGGGACCGGGAGAGTACGGGGCCCATTGCCACTTCTCGAAGACAGGATAGAATCGATCCACGTTAAGATAAGGCATCAGAAATAGATATATGGTACTGTGACCGACCAGGAATGTTGTAGCCCAAAGTGGCACGGTGTACTAGTACTGTACTACTAGTAGTTAGTGTTGTCGTGGCTCCGGCTAAAACCGTGCATAACTAAACTCACACGTGACTTTGGTTCACATAATATACGTGTCGGAAATCTCCATGGGTCCCTTGGAAGCGTTCCATATTGGGACATCATTTAGGCACCTGACAACTACATTGGGTCCGTATTCCCAGGGGGTGTGACCTGTTTGAAGGTGCTTACAAGGGATCTTTCGTTAGTGTCGTCACTTACAAGGACCGTGGTGTATTTTTGGCACTTCCAAGTTGCTTCCAAGCCGGCACACAATTATTCTAAGTTCGTCGGAAGCAGCCGGTAAGGATTCAAATCCAGATTCAAGCAATGATCCAGATAACGTTGACTAACTCGATTGTCTTATCTTTGTTGTCTACCTTCATCTCAATCCACCTCCTCCCATTTGATTGTACTACACTCTTTGTCCCATAATCTCCCTGTAATACTCCTACATGGCGCCGAACAGAAATACAAATGGAGGACGCAAGTATGTATTACCCTCGTCATCCAATAATCAGGTTCCTTGCCAACACTGCAACAAGCTGTACTCATTGCGTGGTTTACGGTCTCACGAGCAAAGCTGCTTGAGGAGACAGGAGAAGGAGAAGGACAACAATGATTTTGCAGTGCTTGCAGCGCAGGCAGTAGAGGAGCAACTTAAAAGGAAAGGTATGTCGTGAATATATATCCTCATATTGACAAGTCATACTGATATCAAGCACTTAATATCACAATCAGAGGCACGCCGAGAGAGAAAACGCCTTCACAAGCCTAAGGAACAAGATACAGCGGCCAGTACTGGCCCAGATGTCCTGTTGGTCCCTTCAGCATCACTCCTATCTGAGGATTGCACAGAGAATGTGCACAATGACTTGAACGCAGGCACAATGTCATTTTCGATGGGATCAGATAATGTTGTTGATGCAATGAGTGTCAGTGGAGACTTGCGACAACGTGCGTATTTTGACTGCTCGTGATGCGTTCCTCATTCAATATTTTCACAATTCAGGTGCAGATTCTGATTCCAGTATGGTGTCGTCTCACGGTCCCACACCACCTACTCTGTCCTCAATTGCAGCTGAAACTTCAGTTCCCTCCGGCCTTGATACATTCAAGACAGAGTACCATCCGAAATCTGGTCGCGCAACAACTATAGAGACTTTCTCTACCTTTGGGCGCAAGCAAGATCAATGGTTGCCCATCATCGACAAAGAACCCTGGCAGCTGTTCAGCTGTCGTGCAGACTTTGAGTTTGCCGAACTTGCACACAATGCCGCCTTGAACAAGGACCACACAGACGAGCTGTTGCGGCTCATTTGGAGAATCACTGAGGGCCATGCAAAACTCACGTTCAAGTCCCACCATGATGTTTCTTCGGCCTGGGACAGGGCGGCCTCTCAGATGGCACCTGTAAGAGGAGAACATCACGTTTCCCCTCTGTAGCTACCAATATTTTTACAGTTCGAGAAGCATACTATCACTGCCCGACACAAACGGGAGGACCTTACATTTGATGTATATACACGCCCATTGTGGGACTGGGCCTTGGACTTACTACAGGACCCATTACTGGTGCTGCACTTTGTTTGGGATGCACAGCGGTTGTACAAACATGACTGGGCACATTACAAATGCTTTTACCATGAGCCTTGGACTGCAGATCGCTGGTGGAATGTACAAGTATGACTTACTTTTTTGTACTCTCATTCATGTGGCTCTAAGTGGTGTTGTATTATAGTTGTCTTTACCCGAAAACGGCGTCCCTTTTGCCTTCATACTGTATGCAGACAAGATGCATCTGTCTTCTGCTGGGACCATTAAAGCTTATCCGGTCTTCGCTCGATGTGGGAACTTGCCCGTTCACATCAGAAATACTGATGGGCTGGGCGGCGGATGGATGGTCAGCTGGTTACCGATAGTTCGTCTTTATTATCAATCTTAGTCTTGTTGTCGATGAATCGTGATTCTTTTGAATAGGTACCTGAAGACTCTAAGGAGGATGGTAAACTGTCTTATGTGAACCTCAAACTGGTTGTGTGGCATGACGGGTTTCTCAAGCTTCTCGAAACCATCATACTCTATGCCAAGACAGGATACGCACATCTGTGTTCTGACAGTATTGTTAGGTGGCTGTATGCATTCATTTTACTTTTGTTGGCTGATTACGAAGAGCAGTACGTTTGTTATTCTTTTGATGATAATATTCTGATCAGTCACTGTAACTACTAGATGTGTCATGGCGCTCATATGGGGGACAAACTGTCATTGCCCTTGTCCAATCTGCCTTGTCCCATCGGATAAACTCTACGACAACGCATCTACTTATCCAATCCAATCGCCTGAAGATGCGCAATCTTGTGTAGAACTGTGGAAGAAGAATAAAGCAGCTGGAGAAGAAGCATTAAAAAAACGGGGCTTGCGGCCAGTTATGGTTGGTGCTCATTATGTCCTACAAATGATACTGATTTTGCTTTTAAGAATGTCTTCTGGCAGATCCCGAATTCTAACCCTCACAAAATGATCTTGCAGGATCACCTCCATGTTTATCATATTGGGGAATGGGGTAAACATCTATTTGGTAAGCTTAAACGACATGCAGCGGCTTTGGGACGCAGCGCCAAGAAGAAGATTGATGATCAGTGAGTTGATTTATTACACTAATCTGCGCACTATTCAATTCTATTCAATTGGTTCCAGGTTCGCTGCCTTCACATGTTGGCACAATTTGAATCATTTTGATCGTGTTACCAACATCACCTATAGCGATGGTAACAAACTTCGAGACATTTCCAAGGTATGTCATTGGCACATTGATTTGACAACTAAAACTTCACTCAAATTCAATTTGGATAGCAAATTTTATATACCACTCAGAACGTACTCACGCGCACAGACGACGAAGCTGGCTATGCACTTCTACGGTGCATAGCGAGTTATCTACATATCGACATGTACGTATCACTTGACGTGCATACAGAGAGCACAATCCAAGCAGGAAAAGCGGAGGTTCTGGTGTTTCAGACGCACTTAGAGGTATGTTTTCGTGTTAGATTCTTCACAATAATATACTGACAATAGTTTTAAATTGATTCAAACATGATTCAATAGGACTACATCACAATTATTGAGGAGACTGATCCCGATGCAACCAAGAACTGGAACTTTCCCAAGATGCACGCCTCAAAGCATATTTTCGACGATATCCTCGCAAAAGGTGCTGCCCGCAACTTCAGCACTCGACCGAATGAAAAGCAGCATGGGCCGATCAAGCGCTGGTACCTACGGCAGACCAATTGTAAGGATATCGCTAACCAGGTGTGTCGTTGCCAAGAAGTTTGCTTCTCATCAATAACTAATAAACTTCGCATATTTGTATTATAGATCCTTGTACTCGACCATAAGAGCTTTGTTACCGAGTTTATTCGCAGCCGTATTAAATTTCTTGATGAGGAACGACATAAACTCACGCTCTCACGGGAAGAACTTGAAGACAACAACACTGATGACGAGCCATTTGAAGCTCACCTGCATATCGGTTTGCCCCTTAGGACTCTCACCAGCCTAGCGCAAGTGGAGGAAGACAACAGGTCAAATCGTGCCTTTGACCATTTCAGGAAGAAGCTCGCAACGTTTCTGAATCACTTCCTGCCCTCCCACAACATACCATTACCAGACGGAATACAGTGGCTGAAACTTTCAGCACATGACCAAGTAAGTCTCTCCTTCACTCTGAAGTGCTTGATCAGATCTCTGACACTTCAAAAGGTTCACGAACATCGCTATCTCAAAGTCCACTATGAGTCAGCTGCTACCTGGAAGTTGGCCACTGACTATCTGCAATGCAGTCCAAGTTTTCATGGCCACGAGCATCGTGACTGTGCTCTAATCTGCACACAGGACAAGGATGGCCACGACAAATATATCTTTGTCAAGCTATTATTTGTGTTCAAGCTTACTGTCTGCAACAGCACCTTAGATCTTGCCTTGGTTCTTCCCATGGATGCTTCACCATGTCGGCGCCTCCTAGATTGAGACCTGCGACTGACTCGACTACGTGCACAGCCTGCAGCTTTGTCTGAATTCATCACTCTTCATTCCATTATTCGTGGTGCTTTACTTGTCCCAGATTTTGACAACCACGGGGATTATTTTCTCGTCAACTACGTGGATACTGATATGTTTCTTCGGGTCCAAAGGAACCTTATTTAGCTTATCATACCAACTCCGAGTCATCCTTCTTCTTTTCAAACACATTCTTTCACTTCACTCATCACTTCCATCTGCAACAACACTTACTCCATTACAGTTACGCTCTCGTCAAAGGTTGTTCGCTTTGTGCTTACATCAGAGTCTAAGGTGTGTCTGCTTCATACTTGCACCAAAGACCATCCGCTCATGCTCGCATCCAAGGTCATCTGTGATGATACTTACTCCAGGTGCTGGTCCCCTTCACACCCGCATCCAAGGTCATCTGTGACGATACTTACTCCAGGTGCCAGTCCCCTTCATGCTCACATCCAAGGTCATCTGTGATGATACTTACTCCAGGATGCCGGTCCCCTTCATGCTCGCATCCAAGGTCATCTACGACAATACTTACTCCATTGAAGGTGGTCCGCTTTATGCTCGTGTCAAAGTAGGCTCCTTTCACCATATCTTCACATCTGCCATCATGCTCGCCTCCAACCAGGGATCTTGGAAGCATGAAGTCATCATCTGCTCATTAATTTGTGCTTACACTATGTGGATACACGATGGCTATTATGTTTCTGATAAGGGTACGTGTCATCCTACCACCTTATTACATCCACAGGGTCTGACGCTATCCGAATAGTGCCGATTTAAAGCACGCCCGACTGATTATGATGTTCCCAGGTTGCTCTTTACTATATCCTCTGACTCGAACCACCATGCCTCAGCACCATCATGCCCATGGCGAGGACTTCACTCGAGATCTTGCGAACATTGATAGCAGCTCCGATGCCACCGACTCGACAGATTCTGACGGTGACGAGTCCAACAATGATACAGATTTACTGCAAGTTTGGAACACAATTGCAGCACCTCCTCTTAATGCATCTGCTGAAGATATTCGCAAGGCAAGTCTTTATATTATGGATGAATGATAGTAGCTAATCAATAATCTCTTATAGGCGCTTGAACTTGCGCAAAGACTACTTCTAGACATGCGAGGAAAGTATCGGGAAGGCTCTGAAGAAGAATGCTCTTCTCAAGGCCACACTCTCAAAAGGCTGGAAGATGAAGCTTACTAATAAAGACCTTGCGCTTGCCGCTAAGGAAGATATCATCAAGAACTATGGGCGCAAGTTTTCTGTAACGCACTGCCTCTGGGTCGAGACCACCATTTTTCCCTTGCGCGCACCACCTCCTAATATTGATCTCACGAGCAAAGAGCGGGGGCTCTCTCCGATGTCAATTCAGGATGGTGTTAAAGCCGAACTCTTTCGTTTCATTCTGCCTGTGGACCATGGCATGATGGCCCACAAGAACTTCGGTTCCCATGTAAGTACGTCAATGTATGAATTGGTCTCACTCTTGCTGATTTTCTTTTGAGTTTGTCAAAGGCATCAATAGTGTTCGCGTGGAAATGGTGTAGAGACTCGCGTTTCTGTGGGCTCATATGAGCTCATTTTATGAATTCTGGCAACTGGCCTTTACTGCACGACTCGCACCATCATCCATATGCGACTTCTATCATGTTTCTGGTCATTCCACACACAACGCGCAGCTTTCCCGCGAAACGCGCCATAGGCGCGCTACTTTCCCACACAACGCGCAGCATTCCCGCGCGCGCTTAGCGCATTTCTCTCGCACTTGTCGCCCTACTCCATACGCAACTTCTGCTATGTCTCCAGTCATTTGCGCATACAATGCACAGCTCTCCTGCAAAGCGCACCATAGGCGCAACACTTTCTCACGCTTTCGCATTTCGCGTTCCCGCGCTGAAGGATCTTCAACTCAGCTGAGGGTGCAGCTGATATAATTGTTGAAGGGAGGAAAATATGAGTGCGATATGTTCGTCCCTTAGGGGAAGCGGAGAAAGCAAATATCCACTGGTCAACTCTAGGGGGAATGTGCAAAGCGCGTGATAAGGCGAAAGCGCGGGAACAAAGGCGCTATAGGCGCGCGAAGCGCGGGAAAGTCGCGCGTCGAAAAGCGGAACTGGGTGAAAGCGGTATGCGAGCGATAGTGAGATGTTAAGACGTGTACTGAGATGCTGATAAGACAACTGATGCGGATATGGCCACTAGAGCTAACTGCTACTAGGGCTTGCGATGATTTATTCAAAACATAATAAAAACTCGGAGATGGTGACTGTCTATGATGGTGGTGGTCCATGGTAATGTGTGTTCCGTTCTCTAAAAAAATGTGTAATGAAAAATGTGTACCAAGTGAAAATAAACATGGTACGATGTTGAAATAAATGATAAATGGAGAAATGCATACCTGGGAACTTGGTTGGACATGGGAAAACACAGTGGGAAGTCAGGCGCCCTATAGCGCTTAGGCGCGGGAAAATTCGCCTAAAGCGCGCGCAAGTCGCGGAAGTGTCGCCTATGTCGCGGAAGTGTCGCCTAAGTCGCGCGCAAGTCGCGCAAGTGTCGCCTATGTCGCGGAAGTGTCACCTAAGTCGCGCGCTGTCGCGCGAACATCGCGTTTATCGCGCAAGTGTCGTGTTACATGCATGATACTGTAGACTCGACCTATGTTGCAATATGTGCCATTGTGAGGCTACCCAGGATCGAGTCTCTACAGCGCGCGCGCTTAGCGCGTTTCTCGTGCTTAAGCGCACTCCATCACGCATCATCCAGGAGCATCCATCCATCATCCAACCAGTTCCTAGGTGTGTCCCTTTTCGTTATCAGACCATATTTAGCCTATTACACTTTGTATTTCGTTATGCACCCTTACTTTACATCACTTTACCTCACTTACATACTTAGAGTGCTCCCTATTCGGCTCCGAGCCCTGGGAGAGCGCTTAGGTAGAACTTACATACTTTCATGTTCGTTTTACACCGGAGCTTCCTACCACATCTTTCTACCACCATGTACTTGGCAGTTAGTTCCATGCAATGCATGCGTCCGTCGTTGTCTTAAGGCCCTAGCATCAGTCTATAGCTAGTGGCACCTTCAGTATCCATCTAGATCCGCGCTTTTCCTCTTATCAGTCTCAGTATCCGTCTTCTACACTTGTGCACTGCTTGCACTACCTTCCTGCGCTTCGTGCACTTTCGCACTTCGCTTTCCCACGCGCACTTTCTCGCGCTTTCACCGCCATTCACCAGGGTTGTTCAGCATCATTCCATGGATCCTTGCTTTCCTTGCTTCCCCTTTAGGGTCGAACATTCTTGCATTCTGCGAGTATAGCAGCTAGGCAGAGCTGAGACTCACTTATACTGGCTGAGCACTTTTCTTATATGTGCCTGCCAGGTTGTGATACCCACAATGGTTTCAGATGTCAAGTCCTGCACAGCTGCCATTTTCAATCTTGACGCAAAGTTCTTCATCCGAGGGTATGCATGGGATTCAGAGCCTGCATGCCGCGCCCTGCTCCTTAACCCTCAAGGTGCATACATGAAGTTTGCGCCCGTGCTCTTCCCTCGCCCAGAACATTTATTCCAAGACGACTTTCTGAAAATGTCAAAGCTCGTTTTTGTAGGCTCTTTTCCTTTCTAACTTGCACATCCTGAATAACCTCAATAGATCCTGAAAGCATCGCTTTTCGGGCGATCCTCGCTAGCTGCCAATGCACCCCCAACACCCAAAACCAAGGCTAAGATATGGGAGTTGCATTGTGTCACTCCAGGCCTCATTGCAGCGGCAGCAATTGTTGTAAGTCTATTCAATCTACACTGCGGAATACCTACTAAACTAGGTCACAGGCTATCTTTATTCTTTCTGGCGACAAAGAACTAGTCGAGATAGGCGATAAATCCCAAATCTCATACAAGGAGTATCACAACTATTATCGTCAATCTCTGATGACCGGTGGTGCCTGGGCAGATAGCATTTACACCTTCTTCAACAACTCTCTTTTTGCTACTTCTTCCTCTGCGACTACTCTCCTTGGAGACCTGAGGGGTGAGAATACTTTGCGCGACACCTGGGAACAGGATTTCGAGCGCGCAATGGAAATGGGTGGTGATCTGCCAGAACCTGATGTTCCTCGAGCTGCATCACCACTCACTGAAGAAGATGCCCCACTATCAACTGCTAATAGTGTGGCCATTGACAAAACACCAATCATCGTCGGCACACCTCAATCTATATCTGCGGCTATGCAAGGTCTTGCTATGGCAGAGGACTGCAAGCTATTAATACCACCTATTGATAACACAGCTGCACTCAACGAAGGCTCACAGCCACCCATTCCTCTCGTTCAGAAGCCTAAGCCCAAGCCCAAGCCCAGGCGCAAGACTAAGGCTGGTGCTGGTGCTGAGGGCCCAGGTGCTGCTGCTGAGGATCTTGAAGTGCGAAGGTCTGGCCGATCGAAGAAGTAGCAGATTTTTGATTCATTGACTCAATCAGATTCAGATTACGGTTTACATGTGATGTATCTATTAGTATATTCATGATTCACTATGATGTTTGCCTCAGCCATGCTCTATGGTAGAGACTTTGTTTTCATCGTCGGGTGTTCTCAGTTAGCATTACATAATAATCATTGCCAGTAAATTGAGTTGAACTTGCACCCTCTTGCACTTGGTTACAACCTTCACAGACGACAATCATGTCGTTTTTCTGTCAACAACATCGGTAACAACGCAGCAACAGTTTAAGCTCGATGGTCCAGGTACATTAAAATTTGTTTTGGTTACAGTTTTCATTGACTTTGATAATACTTTCTTAGGCAACATCTGGTCAGATATCGAGAGCACAAGTCCTGAGCGAACTTGAATTTACCCTGACCCATTGAAAGGAACATGCCCTACAATCGAATGCTTGGGATGCCACTGCGCAGAGGCACATCCAAATTCTGCAACAGGTAAGCATCATCTGTGTCGTCATTGTCAAATCCTGACCCAGCTGAGATCTCTGTCACAAGTCCTTCAACCTGCTGCGGCCGACTTCGCTTCTCCGACAACATAGTATCAATACCCAGCTCAACCTGCATACCCTCAATGAGCTATGTAGTCTGCATTCTTCCAGTATCACAACAAACTCCCTCTACTACATATACATCTTCCCTGGACCCCTTGCCATCCATCCATCAACCTCTGAACTGGTCTTCTCTGCATTCCCACCTCCAGTATCACAACAATCTCCCTCTACTACTTATACATCTTACCCCTCGCCATCCATCAGTCAACCTCTGAACCAATCGACTCCGCATTTTTATCGAGCGTGAAAACTACAAGTGTCCCGTCAACTGACGTCGCTGGATTGAGCATGCTGCACTGTGATCTGCCTCCGCTCCATATTCCTCGAGCATGCAATTAAGAACGGCAAGGTGCATCTCATTGTTAGCTGCTTCTCTCTTGTGTCTGACTGTTGTCTCCGACTGACTGGGATTATTATTTCTAGGAAATTATGATTGTAAAGGTGACCGGGATATAAGAAATGGGAGAGATTGGAAGGAAAATGGGATATTATTAGTAGCACTATTATTTAAATTATAATTAATGGGTCCAAATTTGCTTTTTGGCCTTGGAAGGACATTTATCGCTTACAATGAGTTCCAATCAGGTTAAGTTCAAAATTTTGCCCTTGCCTTGGAATGGTCTTGGGACCCACTTGAAAGACTTTCTGTATCGCTTCCAAGCGGCTTCCAAAATTGTTGGGTTGTCTTCCAAGCGAGTCGTAATGCCACCGGCAAATTGAGGCCTTCCAATCCATTTTAAGGCATGCCAACTAAAAATATAATTTTCCGACACGGTCCAACTCTCAATTAACTACCGTTAAGTCAATTCAGGGCTTAAAACCGGCTCAAATATATATATAAATTGCAAGTTAAAAACAAATTAGAAATAATCAAAGATCAAGCACTTGAAGCCGAAAAGGAAACAGCTCTTGGTAGGAGGAGTGTTCTCCTTTTCGACAGTTTTTCTAGAGTTTAAGCATGCAAGGTGAGCCATTTGCACTGATGAACACTTTTTTAAAGGGTTATAGCGGTCCCTTTTGATGTATCACGGCTGCATTATAATATAAATGCTTTATTGCCATGTCGAAACGTGTCGCGACGCGTCAATTCCTGCTGAGTCAGTGCGCTCCTCAATGTCCTCAAAGATCGACTGGGCACCAATGATATGACCCCCCTTTTCTCTCGGAAATTCGCTTAAATGCATTTTTTTTTTGAGTCTGTCATTGTATTCTATGAAAAAAAATGAGAAAATTCATGCATTTTGTATCTTTTTGGCGACTGATCCTCCCAAGGACAGCATCATTTGCACATTTTTTTTCATACAATACCTAATTTCAGTTAATTCGTGCATATCTCTCCATACAAACCTTTTGTCAAATGTTTAGGGTAATGTAGCGCCAGTCGATAATTCTTCTGGACACTCATTTCAATTCCACACACTACCACTCAATCACGGGCGGAGTTTTAAATTGACTGGGTGTTGCCCATCCCCACTGTCAACTACATGAACTCCCAACACACTAATCTATAATCAGACTAGCGCTAATGGCACCCTAAGATGATGTGAGTGATTTGTTAGTTTTTAATCAAAGACTAAAGAACCTTAGCAATATTGTAGTGCTGCTCATGCATGAAATTGCAAGAGGAAAGCATATGAAGGCAAAGAGCTTGAAGGAGAGCCAAAAGGGGAACTGAAAGAAGGGAGAGAGTTGTAACGTGGAGATTGAGGTGGTGGTGTTGGGTGCAGAAGGTGTTGGGTCACAAAGGGCAGGAGTAGATGTGGTGGCATTGAGTGAAGGCATTGGATGACGAAGGGCAGGAGTGAAAGTGAGGGCCTTGAAGTGTAGGAATCTATGCGTGTTAAGATTAGCATTTGTGCAATTGAGTGATTGTCTATTTGGATGCAATGTACCATTAATACCACACACTGCAAATGAAATGAGCATGGCTCGAGCCCAATTGAAGAAGATATGCTGCGAATGGTGGGGAACAATGTCAATCAGCAACATTCAAGCTTGAAATACCAGCCTCTATATATTCCTTCGAACTGGCCACGCACCACTTAACAAGCACCTTCACCGTATCCGCAAAGCTGACAGCCCATCTTGCCCCCACTGCCCCGGCATAGATGAGACGGTACACCACTACCTGCTAGACTGCCCACACTTCCAACGTGACCGTCACATACTTGTCAGCACCCTAGGGCAAAGAGCCACTTCCATTCAATTCCTTTTGACAGACCCCGACGCCACCCCTCACCTCGTTAGATATGTCAATGGCACTTGTAGATTCAAGACCGTCCTTGGTGAAATTCCGCTTCCTCGCACTCCGGCAGACTGATCAGTTTTGAACAGGTTTGAAAGCACGCAAGCTTGTACACGCACCTTGGTACCATCAAACATTTCATATCATCTTGTATCACCACCACTCACTCGCACACACGGAGTCACTAGCTTCATCACTGGTATCAGTCAGACGGGAACGGGTCCTCCCATCAGCCAACAAAATGGGACCACCCACCAATTAATCCTACTGCAACCTTTCGACTCCTGTACCTGCCCGCTTCTGCGGCCGAGTACGCGTCTTTGTCTTCATACCGATAATCCATACCTACCACAAGCGTACATATAAGTCGTCTCATCTTCGATGGGTTGCGCGTCTAAAACGGCTGGCGGGAACAGCGGACTGATGGGGCACGTCCCACATCAGGGCATTCGCAAACTCAGAGATGCGCAGGGGGCACTGGGGGCCCCCTAGACTAGATAGTATTGTCCTCCATAGAGTATTACTCTCCATAGGACATGAAAATTGAATCAAAAAAAAAAAAAAAAAGCTTGAAATACAATTATTCCACTCACAGGCTGCAAATGATGGGGAACAATGTTGATAAGCAATGCTTGCACTCAAAGGATGATCGAACCTGTGAATGATGGGAAACAATGTCAATCAGCAATGCTCAAGCTTGAAGGACGATCAACACACTCACAACCTGTGAACGGTGAATATGGAGGTGCTGCTCGTGTGTGTTCATCCAAATATCTGCCAGGGCATGTTTGTGGGTGCCAGGTGTGCGGTATTCTCTAATGAACAGAATGGAAGTCAGTCAATTGTACATGTTCAATGATCATCATGGGAACATCAGCCATTTGGAGTGATCACACGAAGGATACAAGCTTCACGACAAATACATCAGTTGAGCTGTGAAGGAGTGATGAATGCAGAGTCAAGCGGGTTGGCATCCAGTGAGTCAGGGTGAGAAAGCTGAGAGAATAAATAAATCACTAGTCAAAGGTCAGTTTAATGACAAACGTAGCAGTGGCATGAATAGGATGACAGGCATAGTAAAAGTAGCAGTAAACAGGCAAGAATTATGAGGCGAGAAGAGACAAGTCTGGAATATCATCTGGAATGTCATCACATTCATCCTCTGTGATGACTCTGAGAAGGGCCTTGTAATTCTGACTGCCAGAAGTAGTTCCACTGATGGTGGATGTCAGTAGATCATCAGAGCCAGACATCAAGAGATCTTCACAGCCCAAAGAGCCCGTGACACACATCAAGTGATACTCCATGTCATTCTGGGATGCTGCCCAACCCTTGGTAAAGTGAAGTCAGTCTTTTTTCAGTGAGAACTTGTCAATATGTAGGACTTCCATCAAGTATGGGCTGAGATGATTGTGCTTCTTGGTAAATGTGTCACTGCTGGAGGAGAATACACACTTGCATGGAACAGCAGAGGCTTGAATTTGTCACAAATTTTCTAAAACGATTGTAATCAGGAACCGTTTACATCACATTACAATCATGCTTACAACCTTGCTGTAAGATTGATGGCAGGGCTTCAATCACTTGCAATGTGCATGTGGCGTGATTGATATGTGTCTTACTTGCTTGAATTCCTCTTTTACAGTGTTCTTGAGCATTCTCCCCCCTTCTTTCCATCCATAATGATACCAGTACTATAACTTATATATCCCTGTCGACAAAATGGGCCCTGAGAGGTCAAAATATTGCGACTTATGTCAACAAGACATCAAACCACGCGGTTACACTACTCACTGCAAGGCATGTGAGAAGAAAGCTGAGAAACAATGGCAAAATCAACATTTCATGGATTCCCTTCAAAGAGACACAGGTACATACATTTTCTCATTATTTACTGTCTCTAAATTCTACTAATAATAGTGGATCCCTCAAATCCATGACAAATGAGGGGAGATCGTATTGATACAGTGTCAGGACTGAGAGGTAAGCGCCCTTTAATAATGTATTTTCTAATCGCAATTCAAGTTGCAACAGGACAATGTGATGTCTCACCGGACACTTTGGAACAATTTAGACAACATGGAGCACAACGGTAAGCTCAGATTATCATTCGTTATGTTTGTTATATTCACTGTTAAAACTTTGCTAGGAGCC